GCCCTTTGATCCATGATTTCTCCAGTGATACATTCTTAGATCCACAGACGCAATTTAACCTGCCCATTCCGTACCCATTTCAAAATCAATCGCGCTCCACTCCGATCCTCTGTTAGCATGTCATCATATACAAATCCACATAACCTCTGTCCTCCAATTTGCAACCTCCTTGCAGATCCATCGACTTTCAACCACACTAATGACCAACTCATCAGTGTGGATCCCCTGCTCACGGCTCCTCGTGAGATTTCATCACACCGAAACGGTTGCGACTAGCACGATCTCGCAAGAATTCATACCGAAGAGCACCGCAGTTGAGGTCTGCTTCGTCTATCCAAGTCGGATCTTCATATCCACGCCAATGTACCAGGAATTCTCGGTAGATCCGGCCATATCTCGTCCTCTTGCCAGTTCTCATGTCAGACATTCGCTCCACTTCATATTCGTCCGGATCCCGATCTCGGATCCAGCTATCTTCAGGTAGGAGAGCTTCATCAAAGTCCACTCGATCTCCTTCTGTTCCGTTCAGCCGAGTTACTGGTCGATCTGGGAATACTTTGACCAGTTTGATCTTCGATACATGCACCACCGGAAAAATGCTGTATGTGGATCCTGCTATCTCCAACCTCACAGCAAGCTCTTCTCGGCAACGCGGAAAGGGCTGTGCCATAGATGTACCAGCTTTTTCGCATACTCCTCACGCACCCGATCTAGGTATAGCCAGACCCTTGATCCAGACTCTACAGGGTGCGGTCGTGCTAGATCATTATGCATATCGGCCCGATCCGCGATCGCTTCTCGTAGGCGCTGGTTCACCTGTTCCCTGGCCTGCTGATAATATTTCTGCATCCGATACCGCCACCTTCTGGGATCTCGATCGTACTTGCGAGTGCTTCCCACCGGGATCACGGCTTCCAGAGTGGATCTAGGATCCCAGCCATGTATCATATAGAAAGGTGTTTCGCCTCGGATCCGATCCCTTGCACGAAGGTAAGTCGTTCAGCATACTCATCCCAATCCCGTTGGTCCAGATCTTCCACATACATCTTGAGAGCTCTGGTAGTTGTCTGGACCATACGTTCCGCAGATCCATTGGCTTGGGGTCTGTACGCCATAGTGGCCCGTTGGCGTTGTCCCAGGATTCTGTTAAACGATTTGGAAAAATCAGACATAAAGCCTGGCTCCCGATCATGTCGAATCACCTCGCCCGCGCCAAATCGTCGAAAGACATATTCTTCGTACGTCTTGGCGATTGTTTGAGCGGATCTGAAGGCACTAGCTTTGGCAATCACGTATCCTGAGAACAGATCTACGAAAAATCAACAATTCGGTGTTGCCGTTGAAGGATCTCGGCAGCGAGGGTATATGATCCATGGCAAAGATCTGAAATGGGTATGTTGCCTGAAGGTTACCGGGTGACTCGCCCTGGATCCGAGGTCTTCCTTTCCCGGTCTTACAGTCGACGCATCCCCCACATATCGTTGTACACTCCGATATAGACCTCTCCAGGGGAAGTGATCACGGATCCGATCATAGGTACGGCCGATCCCTTGGTGATCGCCCTGTAGACTCGTGTGATAGTGACGTAGAATGTCTTGTTGAAGCGTCTCAGGTATCGCTAATTGCATCAGCTTATCTCGATCTGCAGCCGCCTCCTTGGCTGTCGGACAGTAGAAGAGTAAATTCCGCTGATCCACTTCGTAATTCATGGCGATGGATCCGAGCACTTTAGCCTCTTCTTGTGTCGGATCTCGGATCTCTCCGATTAGATACTTCTTCAAGCCCATGATCCACGACTCCTCGTCCTGCGCTTGTCGGATCCGTTCGATCTGTAGCTATCTCACGACTTCCTCTCGTAGGGAATCTGGATCAGATCCCACACGCACCCCCGATCTAGCCTTAGATCGGGTCGTCACCGCTGATACCCGTGCAGCTTCTTCTTCGACTTTCACTATCTGGATCTCATCCAACCTATTTAACGTTATGAGATCTTGGATCTCTGCGTCAGACTCTACCTCGACCCCGCATTGCCGTTGTAGTGCAGTGCTTGCTAGGCCGTCAGCGCTCCCATTCTAATCTCGTTTGACGTGCAATAGTTCATGATCTGGTCATGTACATAATCGATCCAAGGCTCGTTGGCGTAACAAAGTCAGGCCTGGCGCCTTACAATCGATCTCTCCTCGTACTTGTTGGATCACAAGGTTTGAGCCTCCGCAGATCACCAGACGCTGTGGATCCAGATCTTCCAACAGATCCAGATATAGTAGCAGGCCATGGTATTCCGCTTCATTCACCGTCAAGACTTCGGCATACCCCGATCTAGCTTTCAACACTCTCCATTCGGGCAGCTTCCACAAGATCGCGCTGTAGGCGCCTCCACCTCTCTTGGCACGGGCCAATCGAAACTCACAACGTATAGGTCCTCCTCTCGTCTGATAGTGGGGATCGGAGCCTGGATCTTCCGTCTTGGCTCCTTTTTGGGGGCGATTGAGATCAACGCCTTATCCACTTCCGATCTTGGGGTAATGCTGGCTGCCAATGCTCCCAAGATCTCATCCTCTCCTTTGACACACTTAGTGAACTCAAGTGTCCAAGGCGACAACAGAGCGGCCCATTGTCCCAGACGTCCTTGCAAAGCCGTGGATCTGAAGAGCCACGCCAATGTTGAATGGCGGGTTAACACACGGATCGGACGTCCGACCAACGTATTGTAATTGAGATCTAATATCCTCAGAAGGGCTAATACCTCCTTCTCCGTGATGCCGTAATTCAGTTCATTCGACTTCAGAGTACGGCTGGCAAACGTCACAGGATAGTAGATCTGGTCGTATTCCTGCATCAACGCTCCCGAGATGGCCCAATCACTAGCGTACACCACCACCGTGGCCTCCCGCTCTGGGTCAAAATGTCGTAAGATCGGGGTAGTAGCGATC